TTGAATTGTAGTTGTGGCATAGATTTTGTTCTGAAATAGTTAATTTCTGATTGAACAATATGTGCTAACAAGGTAAACATAGTGAGTTTTGGATGAATATAAAAGAAATATTCACCTTGTTTGGAAGTTTTTTTGTAATATGCCATATACAAAACCTATGTGCTGACATTGGAAATACTTCATTAACAGCCTTGTTTAAAGGCGGATCTTGATCTGTAAGAACAAGCATAGGTTGTTTTTTGAATGCTTTCAAAAATGCTCTAAGCAGCCAGGAGTGAGAACTAGCATCTTCTCTACTCAAAAGTCCAGCACCAAAAGTCACACATTTCTTATGATTATCTACCCCAGTGAAAGGTACGAAAACCATATCATATCTGTTTAAAAATATAAAACTTGGTAAGCGTTATTGGAAGCAAGAAAAATTATGTGAAAACATTGCAAAATTTAAAAATACTTATTCATGCTGAATGTGGCATCCAGAGAAACAACGTCTCCAAAAGCATTGTAGTTGTACTTTGCAGTTTCGTCAGCCCAAAAAATTGAATTCAATTTTTTCTCAACAACTCTGAAATCGAAAGAAAAACTTGGGATATTTTTTTTCCTTTCCAGCATCTTCACTACAAGGAATTTTGCATCCCTGGCACCTATGTAAGAATTGAGATTTCTCGTACTGTTCTTGAAATCAGAAACCAACCCACCTCGAATGTCAGAACCACCCTGAAGTCCGGAATACAATCTATGTGCTCTTGAGGCACCAATATTTTGCTTTGACAAGTTATGAATAAAGATCTCCTGTGAATAATCAAGTTTCCTCTTTGTACGAGACAAAAACATATTGTCCTTACCAAACAACTTATGATTATGTTGTTCGACAAATTCAGCGACATTATATTTATTAGTACCATGTACTAGAATAACAACAATTTTCGCTTTGCATTCGCACCTAAATGAGTCTTTCCTTCTCTGAATCTTATTATGTTGAGGGTCCAAAGTATCCACTTTAGCGGTTGTTGGTTTACCTTCCCGATTGCATAGCAAATGTCGTTGTGTGGTAATGCCGGATTCGGTTGTTCTAAATGGTCCAAGCCTGACATCAAAGCCTGCTAATGATGCATAATTGTAATACATTTATAATGTTGCTGTATATGAATCAAAAATTGAATTGATTTTAGGTTTGATGTTGTCTGAAACAACAGGAATCCAATACGATGATCCACCAGGAGAAACATAATCATGTGTAACATGAGATTGTTCTGCATAAAAGAAAATTTTAAAAAGTGGCAAAGAATTAATATAGTTTATTAAACTTTTTTTTTTCATATAGTAACCTTTCTGAAAATCAATGTTATCATCGTCTATAGTATAATCTGTCTCATTATCATTGAACTCGAATTCCTTTTCTGCATCTTTTAATAAGAGCATGTGTAATGAATACGTAAATATATATAAAAACGAAAAAAATACTTAAAATACATCACTTGGGTTATGATTACTAGAATCACCGAAATGATATTCGGAATTGTCATATATGTGATCTTGAATGTGTTCTAATGGATCCTCATCTTTGCAAGTGCAAGTTACGCCATATCACAAAAAACAATATAAAATTTCAACATTATTATTATACAAATTAACAAATATAAAAAACTCATAAAGTAAATTCACCTAAATTTAGATTGCTACTCTCAGATAATTGAAAGTCGACATTATGTAAAGAATCATGATCCCGTAACCCGAAATCTTCATACTCATTAGGATATTCATGTTGATCATGAATATGATCGTCACCGGCTGATATTGTATCATCCATAAGATAAGTAACAGCACGATTGAACACCAGTTGATTGGGGAAAGCAAAATAAATTCAATATTACAAACTTTGAGCCAATTCAGTATATATTAAAAAAGAAGAAACCGTGTAATTGATATGTAACTAAAAATGTGTGATATCTGTATTCATTGTTATCAAATATTTGGTTTTTTAAAATTTTTAGAAAGATTGTAAGGATAATAATCAACACAAAATCGTATTATTCATCATGATATTGTAAATATTTGACATATTCAAATTCTAAATATAATAAATTGCATAGATATGACTTCAACACATCCTGCGTTTTAAATTAGACTTTTAATAAATTAATTCGGCAAACTTTAAAAAAAAATTATTTTTTATTGAATTTACAAATGATTTCTGGTTTGTTATGGCATAAACGCGTATACTAAGAAATCAATTAATATCAAAAAAGTGTTATTCTGTGTGAAAATTTCAAACAAGATCTATAATAAATTTATTTTTCACACATTTGTTCTGTATATTCTCGTACAACTTAACATAGACATACTTATACCACGATATCATGATACCACAATCTTATTCTGTAAAAATATATGTGATAATAATAACAGTAAATTTATTTTGCTCATGTTTGATCTATATATTGTAATACAAATTAAGAATTTGAAAAGAATTCTATCTTTGATGGTAAAACGATTTAGATGCATTGTGTTTTTGTTTTATGTATATTGTAATCAACAGTTACACTCTACTACTTTTGATAATAAGAATTGTGTTTTTGTTTGTTCTGTACGAATAATTTTATTATGAATTTTATATCAAACATTCTAACAGAATGTGTACATATAACATTAAGTATAACACAATTTACGAAGAACTGTTTTATCCAGAAATATTAGAACAACAATACATTTACAACAACATCTCTGTAGTCATATGATAAATAAGAAAATTATGGAATTTTAATCAAACTCAAAATGAAAACTATTAATATTAATTGAATGAAAACATAAACTTACAAGGAGAAACCCCTATAATTCATGAATCCATATCATTATTATACTGAAATAAACCTCCATAAAATCCGATAAGACTAAATTGAAAACATTATTCAGATCATAAAATATGTTGACGAAGTAAACATCTACTCTCTGTTGACCCTTGCTTGAGGACAGTTCCTCCTGTCATGACCAACACCAAAACAAATCCCACATCTTCTTATTTTCTTCCGATCTTTATGTACTTGGCATTGATTGACATTCCGATCATTGTTATCAAAAAAGTCCTTCTTATTGTTATCAATATTATCTTTGTTTTGAAAAACACAACAATAAAATTCAAAAAATGAATTTCATTATTGAAATATCATAAAGAACAAATATGATATGAATCTGATTAATGATTATTCTGAACTATGAATATAAAAAAATTTATATGCATATGATAAACGATACTTCAACACTATAAAAAAAACTTCCATGAACAACATACCTCCATTAACGAAATATCAGAATAAGAAAAATGCTCTGAAGATGATGAACTATTAATTTGCAATAGATTAAAAGGTATACGATAGATATATATATATATATATATATATATATATATATATATATATATATATGTTATATTCGTTGATAAAATGCATATTTAATAGCCTGATATTTAGGAATTTGATTGATATCAATCAAAATTTAATTAACTGGGAAAATATGAATAATATTGTAAGATTACATTAATACCCTTTAAGAATAATTGGTTCACATTTGTCCATACAATAACACAATAATTAGTTTAAACAAATGAACCTATCTCTCTATATATAATATATATATATATATATATATATATATATATATATAATAAATTGGGTCCTACGCAGCTGCCCACTTTGCCCCCCCTCCCCCTCAACGCCCCCATGACGATAGCCCATGTTGTATCCCACCTAAGTGTTGGAAATATGTTTATTAACATAACAATTTATTTACAATCTAGATGTTATATAAGCTTATATATTGAGTTGCATAGAAAGTATAGTCTATGTGTAAATTGTCAATGAATAATAAATAGAGAGACTAGTTTATTGTTCATCTATGATAGTTAAATTAGAAACTAAAATAATAAAAAGACTAGTTTATTATTCGTCATTATTATATATATATATATATATATATATATATATATATATATATATATATATATATATTAAAGTTATGAAAAGTTTTAAAGTGACACCTTTTTGTCAATTTTGTCTTCCAACTTACAACATTGACCCTTCATCTTTATGCTTTTGTTCACAAACAACCATTTCACGTTGGTTTGAATTTTTCATAACCCTCGCCTTTTATTACATATTATTAGTATTTAGTCTTTTGGCAGAAATGGTCTCTCATCATTATTATTATTATTGTTAGACAAAATTACACGATTGGTCCCTGTGGTTTACCAGATTTAACATTCTCTTTTTGGTTTTAAATTAATGTTTTATTTATTAGAAAATACTCACTCAATACCATAAACCCACCCACCATCTGCCATCACCACCACCACCACCACCGCCAAAATTACATAAATGGTCCATATGGTTTACCCATGGTGACAAATTCAGTCTCTACTACCTGAAAAGACCAAATTACCCTCACATTAACGGACAAAAAGCAACCAACATGCTACTTTACTTTACAAAGCAATACCTTCCGACCCCGGCAACGTCGGGGAATCTTTTCTAATTTATATGATGATTTAATTAAAAACTAAAATAATAAATGGACTAGTTTAGTATTCATCATTTATATAATGGCTTTACTAGAAACTAAAATAATAAATAAACTAGTTTAGTATTCGTTATTTATATGATGGTTTAATTAGAAGTTAAAATAAATGACGAAATTGACTTGTAATTAAGCATAGTTTGTATTATGAAAGGTTATTATTTAAAGAACTGATTTGTATATAACAATTTTTCTCTATATATAATCATTTATATTATTTATATTTTATAGAGTTCTAAAATGTAATATTTTAAAGCATAGGGAAAAATTATTTTCTACAAGTCCGCTGCTTATTATCTATGGTACTCATCTTATAATCAATTAACTTTGTTGGCAAGTCAATCACAAAGTATACTATTAATACCTATAAGCTATAATAATTTTATTCATATAACAACGAAGTTACAGAGCCTAAAACTCTTCCATGACTTCTAAATATACAATCAAACTTCGTCTCTTTCCTTTAGGGGCAGTAATTGTAGATTGTCACCATTAGTTTCTATATCTGTACTTTTGCTTCCCGGCTCTAAACGGTCAGTATTTGGGACAAGAAATATGAAACTCAATGTTGCAATCCTCAGAAAGTTTCTAATAAGAATCACGAGCCATAGGTTTGCAAAGTCGGTTCTCGTGACATGAAACACATGGAGAATTACCGCGCCTCCCCATTTGGAAGACAATGAACCGAGGCTATCAATGCTCATTAACAATGCAAAAAAGGTGCCCTCGATACCTATTGGGCATAAAGTTGTGCTCAATACGATCATTGGCATCCATCTGACTCTGCTCACTATCCGGGAAACACATTCTTCCAAGACCACAAATAGGTAGTCGGGAAGCCCAATAGCAAGGTTCCACCGTAAGATGAACATGAGGTCAAGCATCCCTGAGAGGCCGTATACTAATTGAGCAAAAAAGAGTAGGTTTCGAAATGAGTAGTCTTTGAGGAGCTTGTGATAGATCAAAACTCCAACAATAGAAGCCAATGCTCCAATTGCATGTACCATTCCAACCAATTCCTGCATTCAAATTAGAAAAAAAAAAAAAATTATGTTTGTGTAATGATGATGTAATAAAATTTAAAAGAGAGTACCTGAGAGAATGCAGGGCCAGCTTTAGGGTCAGTGTACCAATAAAACTGGCCTTCGTGTGTACTAAAACTAAGAGCCAAGGAAAGGTACATGTAAAGAGATGGCTTCCAGACTTGTGGGAACTGTATGGTTTCATACATGCCTTTTAGTGCTCCTCCTAAATTCTCTATTATTGCCTGTGTGAAACAAAAAGCTCTTTCAGTAGACTTAAATTCACAATATTCACCCGATTAAATAAACTATTACGATATCTACATAGTATATAGTATGAAAAAATATGTGAAGATTCTCAAACTCTAACCTGTTTTTTATTTGCAGAAGTCTCATTAAATGTCTTCTTTTCATAGATCACAAATCCCAAAAATATCTGTGATGCTGCTGGAATTGCCAGAAGTCCTAAAGCAATCTTTACACGATTACAAATAAACCATATGTTAGTATTTTTGTTCCGTGTAAAATTTCATTAAAAGTTACATCTGAATTAAAGATCTAGTTTTTGATATATATATTTTTTTAATTAACAATCACTGTAAAAAATCATGATATTAATGATCAATTGATCTTTTTTTATGTATACATGTACATCCAATAAGTTTTGATCAAAATTTATAAGTTTTGTCCTATGACTAACTTTTTTATGTTTTTAATTATCAATTAAATATTTTATTAAACTATATGCAAAATAAAGTACCGTGTTTTTAAGTGAAATAAAAATGCAGTAGCATTTCGTCAAACTTCATTTGGAATTTTATATTATTCAACAGCTCACACTTGTTGAATTATTTATTACGTTCAATGGAAATATTTATATGCGTATATATTTAGTATAAATCCAAAGCATGGCCGCTGTCTTTTAAGTTTTAACAAAACTATAATAAAATAAAAATGTAACTTTGAACTAAAATTAATGTTACTATCATATCACGTGTTTCATAATTTGATAAACAAAATAAAGTAAAACACACTTGGAAACTATCAAAAAGTTATATTTTCACTAAAGTTTGTAATAATATTAAAAAGTTAAGAGAAATATATACTATCGATATGTAATAATATAAAAATTGTACATTAAAATGATTTTTTTTTTTGGTTAACTTTTTTTTTCCATTATAGAAACCAACCTAACCTGAGGGCCAGATGATAACCTGAGGGCCAAGATGATGAACAAAGAAGCCACTGGTGGAGTAACCAACGAGGGCACCGACCGACGAGCACACCCCACAGAGGCTCTGCATATCCGGAGCCAATGCCTTCATCTCTATACTATTTCTCGCTATGCAAGCATCTATGGTCACATCCGCCATCGCCATTCCCCCTGCAATCGCTATCAAACACCACAACGCCGCACCTACTCCCACCCTCGCACCACCGTGTGCCACCATGGTTGCTGCCACGACCCCTACCACTCCCGCCACAATGAAGTATGGCCGTCTCTTGTACCCCATCACCGGAAAGACATCGGTCATGAGACCCCATATGGGCTTCATGACCCATGGAATATGGTACAATCCTATGAAGACTTGTACCTTCGAGGGTTGTACTTTCTGGACGTCTTTCCAGTAGTAGTCGGTGACAACTTTGAAGAAGGAGGCTGAGAAGCCTTGGCTGAGGCCATAAACGAGGAAGATTCCGAGGATGAATGATGGGTTGAGTTCTGAAGATAACATTTTTAGCCATTGTAATGGTTGGAGTATGAGTGATGTTATTGGGCGGAGTAACTTTGAGGTGGTGGATGGTGGTGGTTGTGGGTGATGCTGGAAGGCGGTGACGGTGGTGGCTGAAGAATGGTTAGATGAGTCGATGAGATTTTGGGTCTCTAAGTTGGACATTTTGAGATCTGATCCCAAATATTATGACTTGGGAGGTCTTCAATAGATTATAGGAAGGATAATTTAATTTAATTAAATTGGAGAATTTTTAATTTAAAGAATTTGGAATCAGGCAATCAATTTTGATTGTGTTAGATTAAAAAATTGTAATGTGAATATAATTCATGTGGCATGATTCATAAAGGTCATTTGAATTAATCAAAATGACCTTCAGATCTTATGAAAAGAGAAGATTGTAAGTGATAACTCCGATGCTCTTTTGTGCATGTAAGGATGTTTGTTTAAATATATTAATTTGATAACCATTAGGTAAAATGTAAAATTGAACAATTTCAAATAACTAAGGAATATATCAAGCAAAAAAAATTAGATGATTAAATATGAACAAAATTAAAAAGTTGTTTAAATTATTATATTATATGATCACGTTGAATAGCAATGATGGAGATAATCAACTTTATATTTTTAGCATTCATAAGTTTCAATTTTTAGTTTAAATCCATAAACAAGTTAATCTTTGTGAATAGGTGAAGGGCTTAAGGCTTTTTATTTAGGCTAGACCTAGTAATATGATAAAAAAGAGCTATGATAAATTAATATATAATTCAAGATATATACTAAAATGAAAAAATAAACTATAAATATATAAATATGAAGTTATTTGGTTCTTATTTTTGTAACCAGAACCAATCCAAAAAAATAATAATTAGGTTTTAAAAAAATAAATAATAATTCAGTTTTAATCAAAACCAATCTCAAAATCCAAATAGTCAAACCATATAGTGTAATCTGAATTGTCCAATAAAATTATGAGTTTAAATACTTATATGAATCATTAATGTCATTAATCCAATCTCAATAAAAATTTGGCTGGTTCAAGTAGACATCACCAATATGTGTCAAAAGAAACTTGAACACAAGAAATCACAACATCAACAGTTCTTATTTATTAAGAACCAGAAGGTTTTCAAGAATACTTACATAACAAAACCTCACTACATATCTCTCTTCTCATTACAGAATAACCTCACTACAAAGTCACTCACCTAATCTACACTCTTACGAATAATATGAATAAGAACAAAATAAACATAAGAACTAGAACCCTAATGATCAGATAAAGATGAAATGATCAGGAAGAAGATAGACTCGTATATTCTACAACTCTCACATACGCAACCAATATATACATCTGACTAGTCAATCAGGCCACTGATTATCAATACGGATCGGATATGACCCGCGTGTTTCATAACTTCACTATATCATCATTCCAGTCCAATACTTTCACAACTTGTACAAGATATACCCTTCTGCACAAAATCATAATAAACACAAGCTATATATAAAATAAATGAACAAACAATAATTAAAATGATACTCAAAAGGATATAATGAATTATAAGTTTGTAACATTAACTTCTTATAATTTCAACACCCCTCCGCAAACTTATAATTCAAATAAGTTCAACACTTACTCTGAAAAGGATCAATAAGACCTAAACATTTACAAATCCATTCATGCTGAGCAACTCCCAAAGGTTTAGTAAAAATGTCTACCAGATTAAAATCTGAACTCACCTTATGAACTTCAATAACACCTTTTGATACCCTATCTCTTATAAAATGAGTATCAACATCAAAATGTTTTGTTTTCTCATGAAACACTGGATTATGTACAAGTTTTATTGCTGACTCATTGTCACAGAAAATGGAAACAGGAGTTAAATCTTTTAACCCTACATCAAACAGTATTTTTAAAATCCACATAATTTCACAAGAAATAACACCAAGTGCTCTATATTCCGATTCAGTAGAGGATCGAGAAACTGTTTCTTGTTTCTTACTTTTCCAGGATATAATAGCATTTCCAAGAAAAACAACATACCATGTAACTGATCTTCTAGATACTAAACACTTAGCCCAATCGGCATCAACAAAATTTTTCAAATTTAGATTTCTTTTTGTAATAGAAAAACCCCTTCCAGGATTTAACTTCAAATATCTAAGTAATCTTATAGCAACATTAAAATGAGACTTTCTTGGAGAATGCATAAATTGACTCAATACCTGAACAGCATATGAAATATATGGACGAGTAATGGTCAAATAAATGAGTTTTCCAACCAACTTTTGATAAAGAACAACATTCTGAACCAATATATCATTAACATCAATTCCTTCTCCTCTAACTACAACATTACAGTCTAAAGGAGTCTTCACTAGTTTACAACTCAACATGCCAAACTCATGTAATAATTCCATACAGTATTTCCTCTGACATAAACAAACACCTTTATTTATATCTATAACTTCAATTCCCAAGAAATATTTCAATTTTCCCAAATCTTTGATTACAAATTTGGACTTTAAAAAACTTTTGACTTTATTGATTTCTTCATCACAATTACCACTCAAAATTATGTCATCAACATATACAAGTAATATAACAATATTACCATTAGAAGTTTTTACAAACAATGAAAAATCATTCATACTTTGAACAAATCCAAATTCAAGTAAAAAACCACATACTTTTTTCATTCCACTTCCTGGGAGCCTGCTTTAGCCCATATAATGATTTCAGTAATTTACAAACTTTGTTATTATTAATTTTATCATTGTAACCAAGTGGTAATGTCATATAAACATCCTCATCCAACTCACCATAAAGAAAAGCATTATTTATATCTAGTTGAAACAAATTCCAATCAAAATTAATTGCAAGAGAAATAACAGCTCTGATAGAAACCATTTTTGCAACATGTGACAACCGTCAATTTTTTGCCAAGTCAAAGTCAACTAAAGTCAACAAGTCAAACCGGTCAACTCATCTAACCCTTGTACATTAGGGTTTCCATTATGTTCCTTATTGAACTACTCGCAATCTTAATACAAAGTATCACTTAGAGTTTTCACGTGTTCGGAAAATCTAAACCCTAATCAGGGCAACTGATGAAACTACTCGATAAAACATTTTTCCTTAACCCTCGGGGGCATATAACAATCATAACAAGACTTAACGAGATGTACAAACCTTGCGTTACAAAGCTAAACACTTAAAAAGGTCACAAACGAGATCTCTCTCAAATCTCTCCCAAATCTCTCCAAGTGTGTGAAATCTCTCCCAAATCTCTCCCAAAAGTTCCTTTAACTTTTTATAATCATTTCGGGCATCCCGACACTTAACTTGGTGAAAAACGGCGCAAAACGAGAAGAATTCTTGAAAAATAGCCTTAATGGACCGAAGCCTCCCTTTAGGAAGCGAACCCTCTTGGACCGAAGGTGCTTAGAACCAAAGGTCCCTATAGGGACCGAACTGCTGAAGAGCCGAAACCCTGCGAACCAAACCCGAAGCTTCCGAACCGAAGCCTGATGACCCGAACCCGAAGTTCGCTTTCGCTTCCTATCTTCGCCTTCGGGCTATTTCGCTCCACTTCGCCTTCGGGCCCAGCAGCATCAGGGACCGAACCTCCGGCCCAATCCGAGAAGCCTCGCTGTAATGCATTTTTCACCCGGTTTTTTACTACGACTTCATTTTAGGCCCGTTTTATATAATTTTAACGTGGGATTTTCACCCAAAATCATGTTTTAACATATAAAACCCCATACTTCATGAATAATCACGTTTTTTGAGTGCAAATCTTATCCAAGAAGAGTGGGTGAAGTACTTGAGGTGGAGTGTTGACTTTACTTTAGTTTATGACACAAGCAACCACTCACACCCACTCCATGACCAGCCCACACCCCCCCCCCACCATACCTGGTCATTCATCGTCCTTTTCCCATCATTTCCCAACCCCATTCCTTGTCTAAGGCTGAAATCTATCCTCTCTCCTAACACTCTCTCTCATTTTCTCATTCTTCCACCAAAGATCAAACACATTTTCTCTCTCTATTCTCTCACTAAAATTCGAGATTCAAGGGCCTTCTTCCAAGCTTTTCTTCCACTTTTGGTAAGTATATTCATCCTCCATATAATTATCTCACTTCCTTCTACTCCAATCATAGTTTTTCTTACAACAAACTCCATCATAATTGTGTTAGATTCTCGAAATCTTCAAGGCATCTTCTTAGTGTTCTTGAGTAGAACACTTCTTTTCTTCAACATCCATCCACTAAGAACACACAAGGTGAGTTCATACCCCTATCTTTTCATGTTTTTCTTAAGTTTTAAGGGGGGGAATACAAGTTAAAACACCAAAAACTTAACTAAACTCAAACAACAGCTTTCATCAGAAACGATGAGTCTTATTCACGGACTGTTTTGACTACCTTAAACTTAATATCTTTCAAAACTGTTTAATATGAAAATATTTCAGGTTCATACCTTTAAAATGACTACTTGCACATCGCCATACGATTTTTCTACGATTTATGGTGATTTTTACAAAACTGCCTATCATTTCAGAAACGAATTCGGACCAGTCTGTGAATATGAACATTTTAGCACAAGTTAAAGACTTCTAAAAATCATAATAAACATTATGAATAAACTAGACACATTTTTTGAACTCTCAGAATTTACGGAATCAGTTTTCGACTTCGTATGATTTTTCTATGATTTTTCTAAAACAGTGTAGAAAGGTAAAAATCTAGATAACAGCTTATAACTTTCATCACACTTTGTAACTTGTTGAGCAAAGTGTTAATCTTTGAAGATTTCATATTTTACATGTGTTTCTTGTTGTGGTATAATTATATAACAGAAAATACTCACTGAATTGTAAGAATCCTCCATTATTACCATTAGTACAAAAATAAGGCATGATAAACATAGTTATATTTTTGCTATACATTCGACTTACATAGAAAAGAGTCTTTATACATCACAAACAAACATGCTGGAACTATAATAGGTATAGTTAGGTTGCATATACATTACAACATTTTGATAAACTATAATAGGTATAGGTTATGTTTCATTTACATTTCAAACTCATTACAAAGGATTTTCATTAACGGGGTACAAATACAAAGTACCAGGTTCACACAAAAAGGGGTACAAATACAAAGTATCAGGTTCACACA